GAAGCTTTTGAATGAAAAGTTTTTCTATAAAAATGCAGCAACTTCTTGGTCTCCTACCATTAGATATGACTGGAAAACCTCCACAGGGAGCAGGGAGGAGCTCATGAGGGATCCTGATCAACTGCCTTAACTAAAACCCTTAACCAGCAGCTGTACTTTGAGCTTCGAGCCTTAACTATAAGGCTGATGCAGTGGAATGGTAACGCTTTCTTCTACAGTACGTCAATAACTATGTAATAACATGTAATAAAATAGCAAGTCGTACTATAGTACAAGGTAACAAGGTAATGGTGGGTAATTACCGCAAGATTAAGGTATATGATTTCAAAATAATGACCTACATGTAATTATTGCAATTCTATGTGACTATGTAACATTGTAATTACCCTTAGGTTCCCACATAACGTTTTCTATTATTGGCCAACACCTACAAAGTTAAAACTGAACTCAAGTTACATATAAATAAGAGTTTAGTTAAGTAAATTGGCTTGCTGTAATCTAGATTTGGTTTGCTGCTATATACCAAGTAATAAACTGGATTTTAACAGATAACACATTCATTTATTGCTTTCTGCGAAATGAATGTTACCTGGTAATAATGGTTTGAAATCTACCGCGTCCGCTTAAAATTTGAAGCACAGCGCTTAGTAAAATTCTCCATAAAGTTTTTCTTGTCACCTAGTAATATAGTGTAACTTGCTATGTTATTACCAAGTTATTAGATGGTTATTGATGTACTGTAAAAGAAAGCCTTACAGAGGGAGCTTTGTCCTATTTTTGTTGATTGCAAAACCATATGATAATTGCAACTGGGAAATAAATCCATGAAAAACATTTTAAGAAAAAAAAAAATCTCAGATTTTATTTCAAAATATTTATTGTATTTTTTCAAATGATGCATTTAAAAAGGTTTTACAGATAATAAATATATATTTTTTTATTTCTCTCTTTTTCGGATTTTATTTTACAAATTGTATTCTTTTCAAATTGCATTTTACAGACAACATTCTTCTCACTTCATGCTTTCTTCTGGATTGGAGAAAGATGCCTTTCTATTGGTCTGCTTGGACTTGGACTTGGACAACATTGTATTGGTCAATGTGTTGATCAAAAGCCAGTGTTGGGATTGGGTTTAAAGGGAAGGAATGTCATCAGTCAAATGCAATTAGAAAAGAATGCAATCCCTGAAATTAAGTCTTAATTTAAAAAAAAAACAACAAAAAAAAAAACATCTAAAATACAAAAAAAAATCTTCAAGTCAAATATGATATGTGTAAAAAAGAAAAAATAGATACAAAATTTGAAAAAAAAATCCATGAAAAATTTTTTTTGAAATAAAAGTAATGAAAGCAGTATTTTTTTATTTTTTTTATTTCCATACACAAAATGTGTACTTTGCTTGCAACAATAATGCAACAAAGTTTACTCCATATAAGAGCAGACTCTCGAAGAAAGCTAATTTCTACTGTTTTTTTGGCATCTCGTTCTATGTGTAAAGTCTATATCTCATGACCATGGTGAGGCTCGGATCGTAGACTGTAGATCATCAGCTTTGCTTTTTGGCTCGGCTCCTTCTTCGCAGCAGTGCTGACATTACGGTAGATGAAGCCTCAGCCCGTCTGTCCATCTCTGATCCATTCTATCCTCGCTCATAATCGTCCCACCGATAAGTTTAAACCAGACAGCTTGAGGCAGACTGACCTCCATCCTTTTCTGTAATGTCCTGCCCGATCTCTGAAGTCGACTTTATCAGATAAAGATTCTGGTATATGTTGACCTTCGGCCATTTAATTTGCTAATTAGCAACAAACTGAACAGAAATCTAAAAAATGAAGTTTTATATTTGGTCTACAGGTATAATAGTCAGACCCAACTGAGATATGCGTTGTCTGAGTTGCCCTTTTTTCCCCTGTTAAAGATCATCATAGATTAGAATTATGTGAAATCCTTGCCCTGAACATCCAAGCTTTGCATGACGAGAACCAGCCTTGCGTCCCGCTGCACCCGAGCCCTCGAAGCGCAGACTTGGCTTAATAAGGCTGGGTTTCTGTGTGTGTGTGTGTGTGGGCATGAGAGAGGGACGCGTGGCTAATTGGCAGAGAAACTTCGCACATTCTCATTGATCAAAGTGTGTGTGTTTGGGAGCAGATGGCGGCAGTGCATGAGTCAGTATGTGTGTGTGCGTGACGTCCAACTGACATCATCCACACCACTAACTGCCAAATTCACCCTGGTGCGGCTGTATTTATAGCTTTGTTCTGAGCCTGTTTAGTGGCATGTACCTGATGCGGTGAAGCAGGTTCGTGTCATGCCCCCACCCTCCCCCTCTGCAGAGGTGTGTGTTGTATATACATCAACTCCTCGTGTCGGTGCTGTTCGGTGGAGATCATGGTGTGTGTTTCCTGCTCGTTGACGTGTAAAGCTGCAATCTGGATGTCTGGCTGTGAGGACCTTCCTCGCCGCCCACATGCACTCACTATTAACGCTGCGATACACACCTCCTCTCGCACAGTTAACTGTGTTACTTCAGGTCTATTTATGTCCTTTGGCTCAGACAGCCAGCTCTATTTAAACCTGACACCAAGTAAATAAAAAAACAACAACCTAGGAATCACTTTGTATTTTCAGGGTGATGTTGGACTGGTGTAACATGACAAATGGCATGTCTGAAGGAAGCATGGGTTATTATCAGGTTGGAGTAGCACCCTCTCAGAGTCCTGCTTTGCATTAAATTTCAGCTGTGTTGGCAAGACTGTAAAGCACGCTATATGTGTCCCTCTGGGAGTCGCTGTGAGGATGTTTGCTCAAGCTCAACATGCTGCGAAATAACATTATCTCGAAAAGTAGGGGGAAAAGTATGAGCAAGTTTGTGTTTGCTCAATTATTTCTTTATTACAGAGGTCTGAAACCTGTGGCTCTGGAGCCATAAGTGGCTCGTTAGACACTCTGCAATGGCCCTTTATCATGTTGGCTAAGAAGCCAAAGAGCCAGCTAACCTTTGGAAAAATAGACACGCTAATACAGGGGTCTTCAACGTTTTCCAGGCCCTTATTATACATATTGTATGAAATTGTGTTATATCAAACTGGTCCTATAGTCACTCCATTACAGATGGTTTCATGTTACGAAAGTAATTTCTCCCTGGGATTATTAAAGTATTTCTGATTCTGATTCCTGGTTGGTGGGACAGGTGTTGTGAATGAAACGGTGCCCAGCTTGAAAGAGCTCCTGTGTGTCACTGAATGTGTGCATTGATGACTGAAAGATATCTTCTGCCTCCTTTTATCTCTTTACAGTGTTTTGAATTCATACTAATGTGCATTTAAAGACATTTCAATTAGTGGAAAAAATTGGAGGGGGGAATATAACAAAAGTCTAATCAACCAGAACTTTCACGACACCCATGCAGTACCTCTATGGACCCCTAGGGGTCGTGGACCCTCTGTTGAAGACTAGGGGTGTGGGAAATAATCGTTTTGGCGATATATCGTGATATTCGGCTGCCCAATATAATATCGATCTTTCACTTCTTAGTATCGATTAAAAAAAAAAAAAATGGTTACATAAAACATTGATGGGAAAATGGGCTACCTCTGCACCACCACTCTGGCAGAAAGCGCTGTGGAGCCCTTTAACTGTGCGTGCAGCACCAAATCTGCATTTGAGGCAGTCACAGTGGAAGAAAACCCCAAACAACATGGATAATAATACCTAATCAATATTTTCTGATGAAAATATACAGCACTTGCTGTTTTATCTCATCATTTGATTTTGATAGCTGGGGAAAATATGGCAATATATAGTGATACTGCAATATCGGGATAATATCGTATCGTGACCCAAGTATCGAATCGCATCACTCATGCCAATACTCACCCCTATTGAAGACCTCCGCACTAATAAATGCCAGTTACCATTTTATCCACTGACTAATTGTGTTCATTTTTCCAATATACATTTACTCTGAATAAATCTTTCATTTAAAGGGAAAATGTTTTTAAAAAACTTAAGCAGACCATCTAAAAAGAATGTTTGTTTCCGATGCTGAAAGTGTGGTTGCTTTCGGGTTATTCTAGGATAGGTGAAAAATTTTACTCTGCCATGTTCATTTACTGTAAAGACAAATACAAAGTGAATCCAGTTGAACTTGTTATTGCTTACCTGGAATGGGTGACAATAGTTGAATAAACTTATGGCTCTCAAAATGGTATAGGTGCCCTATTTGTCAGTACTCGCCCATACCTTTACCACCATTTTAGTACAGTATCGGAGCCCCGCCCAAAACTGGTATCTGTATCCGTGCAACACTAATATTTATCAAATATAAGTTATCTGGGTAACGCTTTACCATAACTGTCTCTTATAAATGTAAAGATACCATTTCTTGATGATTAACAGTGCATTCATGTATGATAATCATATACAAACTGCATCTAAACTATTTATAAAAGGTAAATAGATCATATTGTCCTGACATATTAGTTTAGCCCTAACCCTAACTTCAGTTGGCTAAATACCTCAATACATTTTTATTTACGGTTTAGATGCAGTTTATACAGCATTGTCTAATAATTATCATGCATAATTATAATGATGGCAGATGGCAAATTGTGAGGAAAATTTATTTTTCTGTGGAAGAAGGCTTTTTTATAACCGATGGTGAGCAGAGATCTTCAGTTTGGGGAGGCGAGCTCCGTTTTCCGGTTGCTTAGGGTCACTATTATTGAACAGGGTGTTAATCCATATCTGTATAATTGGGAATAGAGGTGGATCTGAGGAGAACAGTCTTATCTTTATCCCAAATCAGCTTGAGCATTTGTTTGAGTTACCAGATGCTTGTAGAATAGAAGGCCCTGTTACACAGCAGTATGTGACGAAGCGAATAAAATGCAATTAACTTTTCAAATTAAATTATCTTTTTTTAAAGTGAAGGATATGCAAGATTGTGGTTAAATAATGAAATTGAGCAAATTTTTTATTTCCTCTACTTTTTTCCTCAGAGCCAAACTTCACGCTGACCCTGGAAGCCTCCGTGAAGCCCCAGAAGACGGGCGAACCCATAGAGCTGTCCTGTGATGTTACCAACATCTCCAAGTTACCGCCAGGCGGCAGACTGGGTGTCAGCTGGGAGCACACCAGTCTTCCTGGTACTAAATAGACATTGATTCTCTTAAGGGAAAAAAAAAAAAAAAAAAGAATTCTAGGTGCAGTTATTGATTTTTATCATCCATAGATAAGGGGGCTAATACTCCACCCCCAAAGCTCATTGGCTCCTTGGACGGATACGGCAACCTGTTGTCCGATTCGACGTACAAAAACAGGCTTGATAGCGGCGCGTTAGGCCTGAGCAGAGTCCCACCCGACACGTTCAAACTGCGCTTCCTCCGCACACAGGTAAGAAAATACAACCCTATTATTGTTTTTTTTTTTTTTTTTTGTGATGAGGTGCGGTCAGAGTATTAAATAGATTTGATCCTAAAATACAGAATTAAAGACTTATTTCAATTTAAAAAAAATTAGTTTACACTTTTACAGAGACAATTAAACCAGATCATACAGTCAAATTGATTAAGTTTCTATCTAAGGAAAACCAGTTGATTGTATCGACTCATTGACTCGAAGGCAACCCCTCACACTAAGCATGCTTGTAGCGACAGTGGAGAGGGAAAACTCCCTTTTAACAGGAAGTAACCTCCAGCAGTACCAGGTTCGATGTGAGCGGCCATCTGCTGAGGCCGACTGGGGTTCAAGGAGACAGAAGAAGACATAGAAAAAGAAGCAGAGATACTTAACAGCGACTGGCAACTACACTGAAAAACAGGCCAAGCTCCAACATCTATAAACAAAGGTGTTGATGGCGGCAGCACAGCATGGTGTCACAGTCAAACAGGAACAGACCAGATGAAGCTACTATGAGTAAAAGCAGACAGAGCAATCAGCAGAGTGTGAGAATAGAGAAAGAATGATGAAAAAGGGTCCCCATGTCATCCAGCAGTCTAAGCCTATAGCAGCATAACTTTAGACTATAACTATAAGCTTTATCAAAAAGGAAAGTTTTAAGCCTACCCCTAAAATTAGGCAGTGGGTCTGCCTAACGGACTAAAACTGGTAGTTGGCTCCACGGGAGAGGAGCCTGATAATTAAAAGATGGCAAATTTTATTATACTAAAAGGATGTTTGTTTTTTCTGTCCACAGAAAATCGACATGGGTCAGTATGTGTGCATCGTTACTGCTTGGAGTGTTAGCAGCCAGGGGGACGTAGTGAATGTCACCAAGGTCAAAAGCTCACCGCTGACCCTACGCTGGGACACTAAGAGTAAGCAAGCTTCAACAAAAAAACATCCAGTACCATCAATTCAGCACAGACATGTCACTTGCTTCTTTTAGGTGAATGAATAAAAATATCATGCTCACAGCAGGGCCTGAAGTCACTTCCTCAGATTGGATTCTTTAGACTGCTTTTCAGACTTCAAAGAGAAAATCCAACAAAGAACCGCTTGTTGTCTCAGCTTCTCACCAACAATACACGCACACATTTACTTCCTGTTCGCCCTAGAACTTTGTGACCCTAGTTCACTAATTGGGCCATGATGTAACTGTTGCATTATGATCTGTCTGTATCAGTGCCAGAAAGAAAAAGGGTCCATTTTAGTCTTGAAGTCTTGATTTCACAGTTTTCAAGGTCTGGGGAAATATGTAAAAATAATGTAATGATACAGAAAAGCATTTCCATTCTTGTTTCCTCTCTCTTTTTTTTTTTAACCCACTTTCCCTCCTTATATCCTTCATTTCTTACTTCCTTTAATGATAGACTTGAACATTTTAGTGTTTAAAAAAGGACAGTTCTGGAACTTAGAAATATTGTGACCTCTTCTTCTGAGGTCATCATTTTCACGCTTGCTTGTGTTTTCAGGTCCGACTTTGAACATCGTCGCCAAACCCATTCGTAAAGCTTCAGTGGGCGGGGCTACCTTTGAGATGAACTGCACCGTTTATCCTCAGAACCTCGGTGACTGGATCGGTTATGCCGTCTACATCAAATCACAGGAAGGCTTGGAATCCAGCGTGAAAACCATCATGTCTCTCAGCCCTGATAACGTGGTGCAGCACAGCAACCCGAACAGGAGGTACTCACATAGTCCCTCTTTAGGAAAAAAAGCATAAGTTTTTTTTTTCTATTTTAATAGTTCCTCCATTTTGTTTCAACAGAGACAGTTTGGTTCTGTCTAAAACTGGCGCGACAGAGTTCCAGTTCCGCCTCGCTGGCGTCCAGCTGTCCGACAGGGGTTACTACTGGTGCGACGTCACCGCCTTCACCAAACAGCATCCTGAGCAGTCCTGGACGACCGCTGCCAAGTCAGAGTCGAACAAAATTGAAATCGACTTTCAAGAAAACGGTGCGTCTATGTTTGTTCTCTTGTTATTTTTTTCCTAGCTCACACTTTTATCTGTTCTAATACCATGAAAAGTCCTTGAATAGATTAAAATAACTTTCATTCTTAATCGTTTAGCTTAACGCCACACACAGATTTAAGCTATATAAGAACAAAATTTTAAACTGGTCTCTCATAGATTAGTGAAAAATGACTTGCTCTAATAAAATGTTGGTTATCTTTTTCATATCCATGTGCATGAAAGCTTCCCCATGGCGGAAATAAACAGCAAGTTTTACTTAGGAAGCTGGCTTCAAGCTGGATCCCAGCATTTCACTGGAAAGTTTAGTGGAACCAAAAATCTTTCTATTTAAAATGTACACAAGTACATTTTAAATGTATGCTGTGATGCTAAAATTCTAAAACTATTTTGATATTAAAGGAATAGTACACCCAAAACATGATTAGCCTTCATTTTCTACTCACCCCCATGCTGAACAACACTCTGGAGTACTTTTTTGATATCTCAAATGCATCTGGAGATCTGGGAGGCTTCTTGCTGTCTGCTGACATTCAAATAATGGAGGTCTACGGTGCCCGAGACAGAAAGGTCCATAAAAGTCCACAAAAAACGTGTCAATATTCCTCCATACTGCTAGTCCAATGTATTCCAAGTGTCCTGAGTGGGTAGCATCCAGAATTTACTCGAAACGAAGTCATTTAGAATGTTTTTAGAGCATAAACAGTAGTGTATAGTATTTCCTGAAAGCGCGCACATGCGCATTCAGGACGCTACGGAAGCCGGCAGAACAAACCAGATGAAAGTGCGCATTCAGCGTCTGCTCTGCCGATAATGCAAGCGTAGAAGAAGAAATGTGCTGTTTACCTGTGCAAAGAAAGAAACAACGAAAGAAAAATGTCTGAGGACTTCAGTGTTGAGGATGAGCATGAGTTCTTTGCCGAGCTGAATGCGCACTTTCGTCTGGGTTGGTCTGCCGCAGTTTCCGTAGCGCCGTGAACGCGCTTTTAGGAAATCCTATACACTACTGTTTATGCTCTAAAAACATTCTAAATGACTTCGTTTCGAGTAAATTCTGGATGCTACCCACTCAGGACACTTGGAATACATTGGACGACCAGTATGGAGGAATATTGACACGTTTTTGTGGACTTTTATGGGCCTTTCTGTCTCGGGCACAATAGACCTCCATTATTTGAATGTCAGCAGACAGCAAGAAGCCTCCCAGATCTCCAGATGCATTTGAGATATCAAAAAAGTACTCCAGAGTGTTGTTCAGCATGGGGGTGAGTAGAAAATGAAGGCTAATCATGTTTTGGGTGTACTATTCCTTTAAGGTTGAAAATTAGACAGTGTTGCATTAAAAAGACAGAAAGACAGAAATATTGAAGTGGGACAAAGCCAATAGATATTAAACCAGTTGAGATCCATTTTGATTTAAAAAAGAAAAAGGAAGATTAGAGTTTTAGGCAAAACAGTGAATGAAAATGATAAAAGTGTTAAGAAGTCTATGGAAACTCTGGACCGGACCACCGGATTAGGTGTTGGAAACCTTATCATCAAAACTCTCATTCAGTCTATTGTAAAAACCAAATTATCAACCATATTGTTAAATAGTTTGTTTTTATGGCAGTAAATTTATTTTAATGGCCAAAAGGAGTCAGTAAGGTTGGTTCATAACCATCTTCAATCTTTGAATGTTTCTCCCTCTCAATAAAATCTATTTCCATGACGGCACCTCTAGCTAAGCGCTCAGTCACCTGGAGTAATGGAGGTTACACAAACTTCAAACCTGGACTTGCTTGTAGAATTGGAATCAAGTGCAAATACCTGTTATTTGTTCAATCTAAATCACTGAGCTACCTTCTTCATGTCCACTCCCTCAGTGTACACAATTTTTCATCATCTTTGCAGAAAATCTGCCCATATTTTGAAATATTTAATTCAATTACAGTCAAAGCAAAACGTCTATATTTCTACACTGCCAGCCGCATTTAGAAGATTTGATTTATTACAAAGCAGGGCGCAAAAAAACTTGACTTTTCACCCACTAATAATTGCTACATATTTGTTACACTAATAAAGACTTCAATCTTAGTTTGAAAACTTAATAGTAGGAGAAGCAGAGTCCAGCACAAAGCCACCATCTGCTTTCGTCCCATTCAATAAAATCTGATCAAATATAATATTTTCCTTTTTGCAGCTCTATTCATCAATTATCCAAGGCCATTTTACAGTTTTCTTGTCCATTTTCATAAAGTTCCTCACATTATTTGTGATTGAACTAATGACTCTAAAGCCAAGGAGTTAAATTATTGTTGAAGGAGCGACAGAAGCATCTCCTTTCTCTTAAAAAGCACAGAAGTCGGACCGTTTACAGGCTGGAGATTCGGTTTTGGTTTTGAAACGGGAAATCTAAAATCTGAAAATAAATTGTTTGCAAAACGATAGAAAAAAAATATAAAACACGCCTGTTTTTTGTTGTTTTCAATCTCAAAACGAAAATTCCACCTGTTACCAATTTTTCAATTCTAAAATGAAAAAGGAGCCTGTCCATTAGATCTTTATTGCTTTTTATTTCAATGCAATGTTTTATTTATTAAAAACGAAATTGGCAAATTGGAAATAATGTCTTAAAATATAATAGTTTTGCCAAAAAAGAATGGTGCAAAGTCTTTCTATGCTGGTGTTCAACTGCTTCAGGGTCGCACCAAAAACAAAATGGAGAGGACGGGAGGGGAGGGGGGAGCTTAATCAGAAGAAAAAGAGCTCTAAATTTGTTTTGTATTTTTTCTTTTGGAATTAAAAAACATTTTTTTCTTCTCGTTTCCAATTCTGGATCTTAAAAGAAAACCAAAAAAAAAAAAATTGCATTTTATTTTATTTTTAAATCAGGGAGTGGTTCTCAGATTTTGGATTTCTCATTACATGTACACGGACACACATTCCCCACCTACTCTGTGTTACTCATGAGTCATATTAAGTTCCTAATAATGTGCAAAAAAAAAAAAAAAAATCCTGCACACACCTAAAGCCCTTTGACGCCCACCATTGCCGCTGGCCTACTTATTGTCTTTGATCTAACTGGGAAGTTGGGAACTAGATGTGTGGCTAGGAGGTGATGAAGTGGACGAGGAGGACAAAAGGAGGAGATTTATTGTATGTTGGTGGTAAAAATAATCAGAATAATATAGGAGAACGAAGACAGAAACGACGGAAGAAGGGGTATAAGATAAACAAAAAAAAAAAAGATTGAGTCTCAGTTTGTCGACCTAAATTGACAGATAAAAATGATAGAGAGCAGCCATAAAAATGTTGCATCTGCTTCATTCACATCAGCCTTTGCATACTATATATGAGCAAATCAAGTCTACTACTTGCAGCTGTTTTTACGTCGGGTTTAAGTTATGCTTGCAGCTTTAAAAAAAAGAAGAAAAAAAAGCAGCTGATGTAAAAATGACCAGAGAAGAGCGAAAATGTCTCTGGGTTCTAAGAAAGCAAAAGCATTCCATAAAATGACATTTGAATGTCTTTGTGTGCGATTATCTTCTGAATGGGTGCATTATAATTCTCTACTACAGGTTTTGTATGAGCATTTCTTTATTCATTTAACTGATTCATTTGGAGTTTAGTAAAGGTACATCCATTATAGATGGATATTTACAGTGGCGGTGAAAGCGTGCTAATGTGCACAGAACGAGCTTCAAAAACATGCATGATGCAAATTTCAACACACAAGAATAAAAGACAAATGCAACAAATAAATACTGCAAACAAAAAAGAAAAAAATGCAAATTTCAACACACAAGAATAAAAGACAAATGCAACAAATAAATACTGCAAACAAAAAAGAAAAAAAAACAAACGCGTGTATGAGGAGTCAAACGAAGAACAAACCATATTGGACCAAAGTGTTACAAATATATATATTTACTATGCTGTTATTCTGTATTCATGTGAAACTCTGTTTTAAAATTATCTAAAAGATAAACCTCTCCTTTCTTTTGTTTTTTTTTTTAATCCTGCATGTCACTACCCGATCTGTCCTGGGAGCACGATTCGTACCTTCAGCTCATTTGCGCACGCGCCGCCAGATATAAATCCTCGTTGCCCTCAATTTTACTTTTCAAAATAGACCGTAATTAAGCTTTTCCTTCCTTTAAAAATAGTAAGCGTACTTAACTATAATGTGTTATAGGTTAATAATGTATTTCCTGAGAAAATAAATGGATTAAAATCCTTTTTGTTTTATCACTGATCTGTGATAAAAGTGGGATCCTACGCTACGGCTTTGAATTTAAACATAAATCTAGTCTTTTCAAGTTTTGTCTTTTCCTCTCATGTTAACCTTATTGTAAATAGTGCATAATCTAAAGAAAGAAACAAAAAAAAAGCAGATAAACATGGTTTAATCATATTTTGCCGGATTACTCCGAGCATGTCCTATGATGACATTAGACAAGCAGTTTAACGGAATAAATGTAAAAAGCTTACAATTGTCACAGAAAAGTCATAAATAATTTCTTTAAAGATCTCTATTAGCATTCTCTAGGGATTTAACCTCTCAAAACCCACCGGTTTTGAAGCGTTTACAAGTAATAACTCAGAATGCATGAAAATTACACTGGTACCAATATAACCGACATGTTAGACATCGTTAGAAAGCTTAGATTCTCCACAATTCAACCACCTTGTTCATTTTATTGACATAGGGAGCACCAAAGAACAATTATAGCAGCATGTCGAAATGTAGCCACAAAAAGCAGGCACAACAAGCAAGCATGTTTTTATCACTTCTGTTCAAAAAAGACTATTTTGAGTCATGTTTGAACTGATGCAGTTTGTGCGTTTTACTCACCCAATTTTCATGTATATATTCAGAAACTAGAAGGTGTTAACTTTCAAATAACGAATCATGCGTGCAATTTGGGCTTTGGGTATGTAAAATAGGCAAGTGGTGGATATTAAGAGGTTAAGGATAGAAATAGGTACTTTAGTACCATAA